TCAAATCATTGACTGGGTGATTAAAATCTATATAATGGATCATTATAACACCAACTGTCTGTTTACACATATGGTGGCTAATAAATCATCTAACATTTATCATTGAATATTTGTTTTTGACCAATCATTATACTGTATATTTTTTGATGGTGATAGTCTTCAGTGGACCACATCTTATTTGCATGCTAATTAAAGTATCAAATTCACCATACTGTCATTTGTATAATCAAATGCTCTCTATAATTTGATATATATGTTAAAATTCCGACTTAGAAATCAAATATTGAAGTTGGCACTGATTAGACACATAGGCAAGAATTTTTCTGCATTAATTTGGTAGTGAATATGCTACTGATTTAATATTATGAGTACTGACAGGAAAGCGTGCTTGCATCCTCTTCCAGCTGAAAACACTTAGGTCACAGAAATACATTATTAATGAACTTTCATGTAAACCCTATTTAATCTATATTAATATATTGTGTCTTTTTCCGCCATCTCACTCACCTCCCCGTCCCTCTCCTTCATCTGTGCTCTGTTTCCTCTATAGGACTGTAGCTGGCTTTGCTTACCTCTCCTCCTTCTCTTCTTCCTCCTCCTCTTCCTCACCCCTCCTGTTGCGACTGAACGCCCTGGGCAGTGAAGAGGACAGTCCACTCTTCGCTTCTCTCACCTCACCTGTTTAGGACTTTGGTGTTTGTAGTCCTCCTCGCCTTTTCTCTGTCTTAGATTTCCTTTCTCTGATCCTTGTTCTTACTTACCCTTTGTTTCTTTAACTAACACATTTTACCAGTACATGGAAAGTTGTTAAACTATTTTGTCAATACAAATGGAGGGTGCGGTGTATTTTGTGTGTGGTATACAGTATTATTGGTTTAGGAAGGTTTATATGTATGTTATATGTAGAGCTCTCATATGTTGCCCTGATTGACGGACTCTACAATAAAAAAAATGGACAACCTCACAGGATAGAGTACTGTCCCCAGGAGCAGCCTTTGCCAAGAATATGGCAACTTTGGAAATGTTTATTACTGTGATTTTCTGGATTGCTAAGAACCTTTACAGAGCTAAAATATGCAGAAATATATTGGGACCATGGGTTGTTTTTGCAGCCATAGCCTGCCCATTTACCAATACTGAGATGTTGGTGTATTACATGTAAACTTAACTGTGTTGGCATGAAAGCATGAAATAGAATTGGTTGTATAGATTGTTAGTTTGGATACCTAGTGTAATCTGTAAAAAAACAAAGTGGAACAATTTAGTTTTTTAAATCAAACATTTAGCCCACTAGTTTTGTAAAGACTCATCCATTGCACTAACACAGTAAAATGGACCAAGCACTTAAGCTTAAAGCTACAACTATTGCTGCTCACCGATACATTGCTTGAATTTGATTGTGCTTTTTATAAATCCCTTTTTCCTTATGCACCCTTAAAAACAGATTGACACTCATTCTGTACTGAACTGTGATATCACCAGCAAAATCTGAATTCAGCTTTTAGTATAGGACACTGTTAACATTTACAAGCTGTAATTGCTAACATTTCAACCTCAATACTTGATCTGCTAACTCCCTGTGACAGTCGCTCTTTGGGTCTTCCACACCTTTTCTTACTAACCTTTAGTCATCTCACCTATGCAACCATTCGGAGTCAGCTCTCCACTAAAAGGTGCTTTATTTTCTGTGTCCTAGTGTCAGTGTTGCTATTATTGATTTCATGTTCTGCATTTACACTGCAACGTGCCTCACACTTTGTCTGTGCATCAAATGTAAATTCATGCATAGATAAATAAAGAAATTCTAAAATGTTGTGTTGTGTTTTTGACTGCAGTGTGCGTTTGCTTTGTTTGGTTTGTGTGTTTTTTGCATGTGTATTGTGGGGTGTAGGGTGTGCAGACCTGATGACCCTAGACACGATGAGCCCACAGGAGAGAAAGAGACAAGGCTACATCCACGAGCTCATCCAGACAGAGGAGACGTATGTGGAGGACCTGGAGCTGGTGTTAGATGTAAATACATTTATAACAGGGATGTTATTGGAAATTACTATTTTAGAAAAAGGTTGTCCATTACTATTTTTTGTGTGTTTAAGGTGTTTTATAAACCCATGTCAGAGTCAGGTCGTCTGACAGAGGCTGAGATGGCTGTGATCTTTGTGAACTGGAGGGAGCTGATCATGTGCAACACCAAGCTTCTCAAGTTAGTAATGCACATTTTCATATACTTCTTAAAGGCACTTGAAAAAGTAACTTTTAGAGGATCTACCACTTGCTTGTCATATAGAGATGGTCCATAATCCTATGGTTATTTGGCTTTTTCAGCAGTGTTCCACAGTATGGTGCCAGACCTTCCAGAAAAGTCACATTATGCACCTTTAACATGACATTCTGACCTTATATCTTTAGGGCGTTGCGTGTTCGTAAAAAGACAGGAGGGGAAAACATGCCGGTGCAGTTGATTGGGGATCTTTTGGCCTCAGAGCTTGCTCACATGCAGCCGTACATCCGCTTCTGCTCCTGCCAGCTCAATGCTGCTGCTCTGCTGCAGAGCAAGACCTACAACCAGGCTGACTTTAAAGACTTCCTTAAGGTACTGGGAGTACTGTAGAAAAAAATACAATGTACATGATTTATCAGCTTGATTTTCCTCTGAGCAGAAGATCGCCACTAACTACCGTTGTAAAGGAATGCCACTGTCCAGCTTCCTGCTCAAGCCCATGCAGAGGATCACACGGTACCCACTCCTCATAAAGAATGTAGGTAGAGCAAGGCCAAGAGCCCGTTAGAAATGCCATTACAAATCCCATGCCACTGAAAGCTCTGTGCTCTTAACTGTTTGAGGTCACTGTAGATTTTATTTCACTGATGCTCAGATTTTGGAGCACACCCCTGAGTCTCACGCAGACCGCGGCCCATTGAGAGAGGCCCTGGACCGAGCAGAGGAGCTGTGCTCACAGGTCAATGAAGGAGTGAGAGAGAAGGAGAACTCGGACCGACTGGAGTGGATACAGAGTCATGTGCAGTGTGAGGGGCCTATAGAGGTAACACACCGCCAGAGTGATTTTTTTAGGCTTCTTCGATTCTTTTACAACAGCCAATCACATGCCTGACTGAGTTCTGCACTTTCCATATCTATAATTTATACCCCCTATGCCTTTCCATGTCAGACTTCAAACTTTTCAAATCCGTACCTCCAACTCGGGACACTGCCACTGCTGATGAAATATTCAATTAGTTAGTTTTCTATTAAATTCATTATTGTGAAATTATAGAAATTCTCTCGCACACCTATATCAGTGTTCCAGGACCTTTGAAAGCCGCTGTTATGATCAAGCAAGGGCATTTTAATTTTTTATGTTTTAATGTACTCTACACATTGTCTGCTTGTGTCTTTATCTCAGCACTTGGTCTTCAACTCCTTGACAAACTGCCTAGGGCCCCGTAAGCTGCTCCACAGTGGACGCTTGTACAAAACCAAGAGCAGCCGTGAGCTTTGGGCCTTTCTCTTCAATGACTTCCTCCTGCTCACACACAGCGCCAAGCCATTCTCATCTACAGGTCAAGACAAACTGTTCAGCCCTAAGACCAGTATCCAGCTTAAGATGTACAAAACGGTAACAATGAGACTATATTTGACCTCTTTGTTGAATTAATGTGAAACTTCTGATCATCTTCTCACAATTTCAGCCTTTGTTTTTGAATGAGGTTTTGGTAAAAATGCCTCCAGACCCTTCCAGTGATGAGCCAATATTTCATGTATCTCATATAGATCGAGTCTATACACTTAAGACTGAGACTCTAAATGAGAGGTAAGTTATCATTAGACAAAAGACAATAAATGAATAGATAAATTATACAGTTTTGTGATTTACTGTAGGGCAGCATGGGTCCAAAAAATCAAAGCAGCTTCTGAGCATTTTATTGAGACAGAGAAGAAAAAAAGAGAGAAAGCTTATCAAGGTAAAGTTATAGCCTTGTAAATGTACATTATTTTACATCTTATTTCTAATATACAGTACATACATTTATGGTGTTTCTAGCACGTTCTCTTAAATCCAGTGGTATTGGACGGCTGCTGGTGACTGTCACTGAAGCTCAGGAACTCAAGGCCTGTAAGCCAAATGGTAAGAACCTTCCTTTTTAAGTGGATATTAGTAAAATTTCAAAATAAATTTGTAATATTAGTAAACACAATAATATATCATTTTAGGTAAGAGTAATCCCTACTGTGAGCTGACTATGGGGGCCCAGTGCTACACCTCTCGTCCAGTCAACGACACGGTGAACCCAAAATGGAACTTCAACTGCCAGTTCTTCATCAAAGACGTGTACCAGGACGTCCTGTGTATCACTGTGTTTGAAAAAGACCAGTTCTCCCCAGACGGTCAGTCAAACATTTTCTGTAGATTAAATTATATGTACAGGATTTGAATAATTTAAAATGGTTGCATTTAATTTTGTCTTGTAGATTTCCTGGGTCGTACTGAAGTCCCTGTGGCCACTATAAAGAAAGAGATGGAGAGCAAAGGAGCAGCTAACCGTCGTCTTCTGCTTCATGAGGTCCCCACTGGAGAAGTGTGGGTCAAACTGGACCTGCAGCTTTATGAGCCCACTAAATAAATGAATGGACATCTTGCACATACACACTTTTAATTAATTTTGTTTTATTAGACACTTTTCAAATCCCTGCCAAAATCAAAATATGCCAATATGACTGCCCAAGTTCAATTCACTTTTGGAACTGTTATGTCTTGTCAATGTGCCTTTACATTTTTTGAAGAGAAAAGAACTGTATTTTTCTAGATTAACATACAGTTAATTACAATTAATGGACCCAAGTAATAAAAAATAAACAACAGTACCATAATAAATCAAAACAAAATAGTATATAATTTAATGGATGTGATAAAAATGGCGGCTATAAATCAGAAGTTGCATTGTTACATTGTCAATCTGTGAAATGTTGCACACTACTGTATATTGTAAAAAAAAAAAAAACTAATGCCATTAAAAAGAACTGGCACCAATATGTTTTTTGTTTTTTTTTGTCCACACTGCTGCTAGTAAACTGTGAAAAATGGTGAGGTAGTTTACAGATATATAAATATTTACAATAGAAGTAGCTCTACATTTTAGTATCAGTTTCTTCTTCAGGTCTTCTTGTAGAAAACCAACAGTCACTCCGATGCTAATCTCTGTACTTTGTGTCAATGTGGCATGGGATCTTATCAAGCCTTAAACAAGACAAGACACACTGTTTATCTCAAGTCCCTTACAAAATGGATACCTGCTTAGAGGTCTCGTCATAGCTTTGTTCTCTGGTGTTTTTGTAGAGGTCGAAAGTGAATAAGTGGATGGAGTCCCGTATCGTGTGCTGGGTGTCACAGGGCTGCTAGAAACCAGGGAGGACTGATAATGATGAGGTAGCTTGTCGTCTTGTCTGCTGCTATTTTTAGTATCTAGTGGAAAGGACAAAGTCAATCAAGTGCATAGAATGACAGTTTAAATTTTGTTTGGTTTTCTTTTTCTAAATTACCTGTTTCAAGAGAAGTTGATGTCCAAGCTTCTCTGGGTCTATCCTTCATTTCTGCCAACTGAAAATGCTCCTTTGTTACATGTAAATGACAGTGACTACAGTAAAATGATACAGTACAGTTAAAGTACATTGATGTTGCTGCATTTTCAGCCTTGAATTACTCGCATTTTGGTCTGTCAAATCCTGTTACACTGTCAACTAATGTAACACGATATCAGTAGTTTAGGATTTTTTCTATGAGAGTTAAATGCCAAAATGTCATATACATTTTATCAGTCTTTAATATTAAGATTATAATTAATTGTATCTTTTTTATCTGAGTTGCTACATTCCTCTATAGTTGACAGATATGGCCAGAATCAATTAAAAAAAATTACCTTAGAATAATGGGACTTTTTCAAGTGGTGTAAAAATGGATCATACTCATCTGGGTTGTAGGTGTCCAGAAAGACATAACCCTGAAAAATAGTGTTTTTAAAAAAAAATGGTTAGAAAAGGAACCTATTTGTCCAAGTTAATAAGGGGTATAATGGACACATAGGTACCTTCCGGTTGCAGTGCTGTAGGTATTGACTGTATAGGCCCTGGCGTCTCTTTATATCCATGGCCCCACAGCTGGACACATGCTGGTTCAGATGTTTTTGAAGTGGCATCCAAATATGTTCTGTCCAGTCTTTATGAAGCAACTCTCTTCTCCTTTGTTCTGCTATATCGTGCTGGTTTAAAACATCCTCCAACTTCTGTCCAGATTTAAAAACCAATTCAATCAAAACATTTTCCATTCCAAAATTTTAAGCATTACAAATCTTACCTTTACAAAACCCATTTCTGTGTTCAACAGTAACTCCATAGTTTCTTTCATCTGATGATTTTCAGTGTCCATTTTGGCCTAAAACATTTACAATATGAATTTTTATAATACAATTTTTATGGATATGTAACTTACTAAAGTGCAGTACCTGGAGCCGTCTGAGGGAGGGGCAAGAGCGCCTTTCTAGCCTGTGAGGTTGCGTGGACTTTGTAGATTTATAGGCTTCATTTGATCCTTCTCTCTTCGATTTACTATTTAGATTTAGCCTCACCATTGGCTGAGAAGGGCTTTTCATATTTTTGACATCAACTTGTGAATCTATAGTATAATTCTGAAAGGACAAAAATATGGTTTGAGTAAGATTACGATTTTCTGCAATTTTCTTCTTGTAATTTTTGTCATATATTTGGTTTGTGTTAATAATCCAAACAGAATGTTATAGCTATATATGTTATATACACACACACACACACACACACACACACACACACACACACACACACACACACACACACACACACACACACACACACAAACATCCTCATAACAAAAAGATGCTTTCTTTAGTAAGTAACTACGGTTTAAAAGTATACGTTAGCTTTTTTCACCTCTACAATGTCTTCTTACCATAGTACAGAATACATTGTGACCTTAAACATCAAAATGCATAGATTGTTTAGCTAAGATTCATAAATCCTTGCTTGAATTAGACAGCCCAGACACAATTGTGCTGCTGAACTTAGGGACACAAAGGCCAACACTACAGGCCATGACAGATCACATTCTCACATGGAAACCTGAGACCATCCCCTCATTAGGCAAATAGAGCGTGTTTGACTGCACTGTGGGATTTTTTTTTTTTTTTTTTTTTTTTTTTTTTACAAGGTAACTTTGATTATGTAGTAAAATAACTGCTTATTAAGATCTTTTTTGCAATTTGTGTATGCACTTTTTTACATTTTGATCATTGTGCATTCAACCTGATCCGCTCCAGTAACTTATGAATGAGACTATCCATACAACCTGACACTGTAACTGCCTACTGTATCCATAAGCTGAGACGTGACAGCATGTCGACAATACGGAAAGATACAATTGAGATCTATTGTCCCACTTGTCAAACTGTCACAGCTATGTACTGTAAAGTCTAGAAGCCATGACTTTGAGTAGGGAACCTCAATTGTTTATCAAACATTCACAGATAAACAATCATAGTAATAGTTTTATAAGCAATGTACTGTGCAGCAAATTGAGAAACTTGAATTTATTATTATTAAGATCAAAAGTAGCCAACTACAACTTACCTCAGGAAGGAACAAGCCTCGATGGATAGGTGTGTGGAAGGTGATGAAACCTTTTGGACAAATTCTCTTGGGAGACATGTCTAATTTAAAAGTGAAGCCTCAGAACTGTGCAAAAAGCAGCTTGTTGTGGGAATTGGGGAGCGGTGTCAGAGCAAAAGGAGAGGCTGCCGCAGGTGTTCTGTCAGCAGGAGTTGTGTTGCCATGACGCCGTCTACGCATGCCAAATCAAGACTTACGCAGACGTAAAAACGTCGTTTTTAATAATATAATTGAAATTGTGTATTTGTATTTTGTGTTAGTATTATTTTAACTAACAGAAAAATGCAGTTTTATTTGACATGTCATGGTTTGCAAAACATATTAATGAAAATGGTCTGACTCTTACCTGTGGCACGTAAAGTGCAAAGTAGTTTTCCATTCATACAGGCCTATAGAGAAACAACTTACACGATGTTAATGCTGGACTGATCCAGTTAGCCTAGAACACTCGTTAAAAGAGGAGTTGCACTTTCAATTTGCTGGGTCACTTCACTTAGTTCACTAGCCCGACACCTGTCGGGAGAGACACTGGTCAATTATAGGCTATTAGCGGTGTTAAAGCAGGACATGGGCAGAGAGTATCAGCTCTTCGTTGCCTTCATTCTTTCCGCGGTTGAGCCCGACAACTGGGAGACTACATGGATTGGTGGACTTCACTTGCCGCCTGTATTGCCCTTCTCTGGATCGTGTGCTTCATAGACGGTAAGACAAGTGGACATTACAGTCGCTTTGTTGTAGAGCACATAGTTAAGATTAAAATACATAAAATCATATTTCGTGTAATATACTAATCATTTAGTCTAAAAAAAAAAAAAAAAAAAAAAAACACACTTTATGCATATGTTTCTGTACTTAAAATGTCCTTTTTACCATAGTGAAATTGTATAATCAAAGAGAACTTCACAATTGCCCTGCCTGCCTTAGGACATAAAACAGGTATAATTAAAGGTGTGTGTGTGTGTGTGTGTGTGTGTGTGTGTGTGTGTGTGTGTGTGTGTGTGTGTGTGTGTGTGTGTGTGTGTGTGTGTGTGTGTGTGTGTGTGTGTGTGTATATATATATATATATATATATATATATATATAACATTTAAATTTAACTTATTACCTAACATTTAACCTATTTTAATCAAAACATATTTTACAAAACCATTTTTGATCAATTATGGTAAATCCATGGACATGCGTAATTACGCACAGATTTGTAATACAAGACGCCGTCATGTTAGAAGTAGTAGCTCTAATCTGTCTGTTTGTAATGACTGGTGACATTTGGCACGGCTTTAAACCGGTCCGCAGCTGACAGTGTGTTACCCTCTTATCTCCAGGAAACGCGGTGCTTGAGCTGCGTTTGCTCTTCCACGCGCTGACAAAAGCTGCTTGTCACCTGTACCTGGCCTTGCTCCCACTGCGCAGAGCGGCCACACACTTCTACGACTGTGCACGATACCTGATCCACCATGCCCAGCACAACCAGTCCCACCATCCCGAGTATCTGCAGCACGGCAAGCCGCTGGCCAAGACAGGCACGCTGCACTTTTTGGAGGGCATGTGTGTGGTTTGTGAGACTGTGCCTAACCTGATGGGCGCAGCGCTCAGTCTGGGCTCCGCCTTCTGCCACATGATGCAGGGGGGCTTTTACGTCCTCGCGGCCACACTGCGCACCATTCAGCTTAATCTGTTCTCCCAAATGAATGGTGAAAAGGAAAGATGGGACAAAGACCGCGTAAGAGCCAAAGAAAGTGAGAAAAAGCTCAACTCCAAAGTACTTGAATACATCTCGGTGTTTTGTCAAGATCCTGTCAGTGCTCTGCGAATCAAAGTTGACGTGCCGCCTCTTTACAGATGATTGTCACTTTGTTTGATACAAGCTCTTTAAGGGCACTAAGCGGCCTTTTGTTACTGACAGTGAGTCAGAAATTTTGCAGGTGCTGAAAAAAGGCAACAGCTGATCATATACATGTGCACTTTGTTACAAAACATTTATTAAAATATTAAATTCATGTCTCAACCTACTTTTTTATCATACATTTAGGTCACATTACTTTATTAATTAGTTATTTCAGAGACAAATTAAAGGTTAGCAGAATATATTTAAAGAAATGTTGAAACACACTGTTGCATTTTTATAATGGGAAAAGTGAGGCTATTGATCTCAGTCAATTATAAGAGCACTTTCTGAGTTTTTGAATTAGTCAAGGTGTGCATTAATGGCAGCAGGTGATGGAGTGAATGTATCAAAAGTATAGGGCTTCACATTTCACAAATTTGTATATGGTTATACAAAAACAGTGTGAATAGAAAGATTAAGCCAGAGTTTTGGCACCGGGGATATTTCTGCAGCAGTTTGTCCAGTGAGAGTCTGTACTGAAAGGGACAGAGGATGAATAAACAGGGTTATGGGGTAAGTAGGGCTGTGAGTTGATGCTGTACATGGACCTGCTCTAGAGAAGACTAGAGCTTTGCATAAAGAGTCCTCTGGAGCAACTGGGGAGGGATTTTTCCATCTGCAGAGAGAGAAGAGGAAAGTAGCATGTAGGTATCTTATCAAAGCATATGTAAATAAAGTGTATGTAAATAATGTTTTAAAAAAGCTCCAACAATGACTTACAAAGAATGTCACTAATTCTTTTCACAGCTGCTTTGTCCACTTGATATTCATTGTCTTTTGACCTACAATCAAAACCAGATTAATCTTATCATGCAAAACATTTATGTAAATGTACTGGGGGGCAGTGGCACAACTACTCACCCTCTAAATTTGGTCAAAACCCCCAAGGTGCATAGTGCAGACAGGATATTTTTCTGTGTGTCTGATGACAGAGATTCATAAGTTTGAAGTTCACCTGTTCAACACAAATAAACAAATGTTCACTATAATACTTCAGCTCAATACATTAAGAGATTATGTTGACAATAATAATTCAGTTCAGTGTACATTAGGATATTGTTTTCAATTGTACCTGATAGGATGAGCTTCATAGCAAAGCTTCGAACAGCAGGATGCAACTCTTTTTCTGAAATGTTGTTGGTTTCATATTCAGTGAAGAAATCAAGCATCACCTGGGCATGAGAAATACATGTATGTAGTAGATCAAATACAGTATAATATTTAACATATTTATTTATTACCTGATATGACCGAATAAAAGGTTGTAGAAGAGCACACAGGAAAGACAGCACCTCATGTCCAGCCTCTGTCACTGTCACTTTCTCTGGTTTGACATGAACGGCTCCACAGTCCTTCATTAGCAAACATGCCTCTTCAAAGTCCTAAACAGAAAACAATATAATTTCTACTATATAACAAAAGCAAAACACATGTAGTGATTTGTTAATTATTAATACATCATAAGCTCTATGTAGAATACTGCCTCATAGACACCTGAACCAGGATTGAAATATCCCATTATAATACAGACTTAATATAGTCAGGCTTAAGTGTATAATTTGTTCTTGCCTGAAGGTGAACTATGTAACTCTGGTGAGGGTTATGGAGATATCATTGATTTCTCCAAAATGTATTTTGTATGTATATGTTCAATTAAGGATGTTAAAAACACATTTATGTTTACAACATACAAGTGAGCAGGCTTGACTCTCCTCAGAAATTACCTACAACTTTGCTTGCTAGCACTATCTGCTAGTCTCCATCAAAGACAGATAATTTTAATACCATAGTGTAATATTTCAGCTGAGAAATATCATTTCCATGGAGACAAGCAGGAAATGATACACCGGATGATCCACCAGAAACTTTACATAGTTCACTATTAATCGGGTCGCCCGGGCCTTTCTGTGTGGAGTTTGCATATTTCTCTCCATGTATGGATGGGTTTCCTACAGGCACTCTGGTTTTCCCCATCAACCCAAAACATGCTTCATAGGCCTCCAGGAAGAATATCTGATAGGTATGGCCAAATACAATCAATCAATGAACCTGCCCAGGGACTACAACTGGAAATGAGCACTGGTGCTACAACCTGGTACAAAGTATCTCTGCTGTTAAGGTTAACGTATATTATGCACTGTCCCCATCTCATTAAATAAATAAACTAAACTAACTCTATTTGCAAGTTAAAACTGAATTACTTTTCCAAACAAGCCTATTATCCATACTTTTTAAAATGATGAAATTACCTGAGTTGATTTTCCAGGCACAAATATGAATTCATTAGCTAATATGTCCTTCAAGAAACAGAAAAATGTAAAGAGCTCATCTGTTAGGGAAAAAAAGACAATGAAGCATCATCATGTGTGGAAGATATCTCTACTGCAATATTTTTTAAGCCTACAGACTCACCTCTTTGTGTGCTCTCTGTGACTTGGATGGCAGTTGTGAGCATGGCAGGACGAAGGAAAATGTGCAGAGACTGATTTCTGTAAGAAGCCAACATGAGCATTGCCGCTGCTGTTCTGTTTACTTCCTCCTCTGCACTGAGTGGATGTTTTCTCACAGGCACCTCCTCCCGAACCAGACAGACCCTGTCCTCCGTATGAGCAACTATGGAGTGATGAAGGGCTACCATTGACAACAGCACGTCTTGGTCTGATACTTGTTCTGTAAAAAAATGAAATAAAATAATTCCTTTCTCTCTCAGAGACCTAGAAAAAGTTTTTGAGTATCTGGAAAGTATCCATCAATTATAATATTGTGTATAATAATAACTTAAATCCAGGTCAAAGGTTCTCCAGTAACTACTGATTCACTAGTGACAGTCTGTCAAATCCTCTCAGTTGAGTTGGTGGAACTGCATTAATCCACTGAACATCTCTTAAGTGAATCAGATACTCTTGTCAAAACATTCGCCTAATCTGTCTGGTCTTTCTCAGTCTCTGCCCAAGAAGCCTTGGCGTTCTTGGAACTACTAATAAACTCCACCTACTAATAAACTACTAATAAACTCAACCTTTGGTAAGTTAAGTACAATAAAATACCTGCATGTGCCCATTTTGAGAATTAAAATGTATTTCTGTATTAAAATGTAGGCTTCTTTTGATGGCTCTCTTTGCCCACAACACTGCAACATACAAATGCCCTCTGCTGGTCAGTAATGGGATGTAAAATTGGTCAACTTCAAACAAAAGAGCTTTGCAAAGACAACATTAAAATTCATGTTCTTCAACTTAAAAACATGATTTTGTATGAAAAAATACAATATTCATACCTGGCCAGTGGAGACGAGCCCCAAATCGTAGTGCCAACTTTTTAAGCCAAAGAGTTCTGTCTCTGAGCTCGCACCAGACCATGCCTCCTTCTGTCAGTGTGGATGTAGGACACTGAACTAACACACAGGCCATTAAGGACCAGGGGCTTATGTATGACCCCTCCTCCTGAATTCTGATTATGAGGTGGGCCAGCCAATTCACACATGCCTGGACATCCGGACCGGGCACCTGTGGCAAGTCTCTATTGACAAAACAAAAATCCAATAGTTAATAAGTAAAAAAGTTTATAAATGTTTAAAATTCCTTGTTACAACTTACCTTGGTGTGAGGCTGTATTGGCCTCGGTTTATCTTGCCCTGGCACAGTTCTCTGACCGACAATGGGCGACCAAAGTTCACATGCATGCAGCCATAATCTTCTTGTAGCACTTTGGTGGCCTTGAATAGACCCTGTGGAGTAATAAGGATTATAATTATGCTAAATTAGATATTAGTAAGACACTAAAAGTTAATCGTTATTTTACGTTTTGTTCACCGTAAACCCCAATACTGATCATGTGCGAATGAACCAAAACACAACTCCAAGAATGTTTTGATGAGGAAACGGCATTATAAATAAGGAAATAGCTTAAATGGGCCCCTTTAATAAAAGAAGTGAGTTCTTTGTTCAATATTGTAAA